TTATGCAAATCTAATCGATTATGCAAAAGACATCTTTTTTCGACATCGAAAAGACGTCTTTTTTTATCTTAATCTTGTCATAAAAAGGCATAAAAAATGCGTCTTTAAGACGCCTTTTTTTAGTCAAATAAGCAAATCTAAATGACATCTTTTTTCGACATCGAAAAGACGTCTATTTTTATCTTAATCTTGTCATGAAAAGACATAAAAAATGCTTCTTTAAGACGTCTTTGTTTATCAGTTATGCACTTCTAAAATAAGTTTTTTTTCGGGGTCGTAACAACTTTTTTGCTATACTTATTAGTATACTATAGTATCTTATACACTGTAGTATTCCTACTTTTCATATATGAAAATCTATTTTTTTTTTTAAATGAAAATGATAATAGCTCTTCATACAAAGTACTACAAAAAGCATTTTCCGATGCCGAGAAAAAAACCTCTTTTAGATGTTAATATAAAAGAGAAAGCATTTTCTACATCTTTTATATGTTTAAATACAGAAGATTAATTTATAAATAAAACAATTGTATTGTGCAACAGAAAATTTTTTTAACTTTCTCTTTCTTTTCTGTTTCTTGAGCGAGCTCTGTTTCTTGGCGTTGTTGAATAAAATTAACAATTTCACGTCGAGAAATCATTTCATACGAGCAGGTTACAACTTCTAGCTGGTTACCACTTCTAAAAAACGAGTGAACTCAAAAAACAGTCTATTGCTTAAATGTAATACAAAAAAAGCAAACGAAACTTGATTAGCTGAGTTGAGCAAATTATACTTACCGACTATTAATTCAAAAAGGGCTGATCCTTTTAATCCACTCATGTTTTCAGTGCAGTCCCTTCTTTTTGAACCCACTAGGTTAGATTGGGACAGGAGTCAAACGGTAAACAGTCTAAAAATATATAAAAATGAGTGTGCTAAACAAATTTACAACCATTCAAATGACTGTACACCGATGTATTTTATTATGTAGTACTTAAATCAAGCTAAAAATTTGCATCTCTCAGATTTGCTATGAAAGACAAGTTATTGAAAACAGATATTGATATTTTTCTGTCTTCTATAATATGACTTTTTAATTGAATTTCGCTGAAATTAAGTGTTGTAAACACATAAAATTTAAAAATTCGTTATTGACTACAGACTACCAAAACAAAAAGATAATTTAGCTCATACACCTTGAGAGTTGTTATTTATTTAAACTAGAAAAAGTATTAGTCAAAGCTCTATTTTAGCCTGAAACATAAGAATGCTTTACTTACCAACATTAAATCATAAAAACTGACGATTTCATTAGCAACACAGATGAAGTACACATAAACAAAAATGAAGACTAGAAACTTGCAATGACGTTTAGATACAAGAAATTGTACCTTTCCAGTATCATTTTTACTTGGTTTTCTGTATCCAAACCAAATATTTTGCGATGTGAATTTTTATAACTGCTTTGTTAATGATAGACAACATATTTAAAGTAAAAGTTAAAGAGCCATACTTTTGTATATTTTCATCATTTAACTAAATAGAAACATCAAAATTATTCAAATCATTTAAAAATATATTTAAAAAAAATCCAAGCCTACTGAACGCTTCTTTTTTTCTATTATTCGTTTCACTGGCACTTGACAAGTGAATATAGAGAGAAATTATTTAGAGGTTTTATTTTTCGTCTGAAAACAAATATTTTAATTTAATATGTAATAAACAACGTTCTTCAACACAATACATTAACTATTTGTCTAAAAATAAACGGTAACACTTTTTAAAACACTTACCTGCGACTAACTTAATTGAGACTGGATCATATCGATACCATCTTACTGGCACCACGCCATCCACTTTTGCTTTTTCCGATTAACACTTTTTAGCTAAACAGCTGCAATTGTATATTTACTTCAGTATATTTATTTCAGTATATACATATATATATATATATATATATATATATATATATATATATATATATATATATATATATATATATATATATATATATATATATATATATATATATATATATATATATATATATATATATATATATATATATATATATATATATATATATATATATATATATATATATATATATATATATATATACATATATTTATATATATATATATATATATATATATATATATATATATATATATATATATATATATATATATATATATATATATATACTATAATATATGCATTTATATTATGTATATTTTTACATAATATATATATATATATATATATATATATATATATATATATATATATATATATATATATATATATATATATACTATAATATATGCATTTATATTATGTATATTTTTACATAATATATATATATATATATATATATATATATATATATATATATATATATATATATATACATATATTTATATATATATATATATATATATATATATATATATATATATATATATATATATATATATATATATATATATATATATATATATATATATATATATATACTATAATATATGCATTTATATTATGTATATTTTTACATAATCTATTACTTTATTATATCCTCGCAGACGGAAAATCACGTGGTTATACAAATTACCAATAGCGCAAGTTGTTACCATCTTGAATGGGGGAAAATATATATATATATATATATAAGCTATAATATATATATATAAGCTATAATATATATATATACATATATATATATATATATATATATATATATATATATATATATATATATATATATATATACATATATATATATGCATTTATATTATGTAGATTTTTAAATAATATATTACTTTATTATATCCTCGCAGACGGAAAGTCACGTGGTTATACCAATTAACAATAGCGCAAGTTGTTACCATCTTGAATAAGAGAAAACAAATGATTAGTTGAGTTAATAAAGCAGGAGAATTTGTACGAAAAAGGGATCTAAAAAGTTTAAAAAAAGAAAATTTAGTTTACAAATACTTTGAAAAGTTTGATTTTAACGCCGCAGAAAGGTATATTAATAAACTTGCAATCCTTGGAATCAACCGATATCTATAAAAGTTCCTTGCTAATACTTGGAAAGATGATCAAACTGAATGACCATGAGTTCAATACCATGACGTTTATAATTATTTAATAAAAAGTCCTATAATATTTTCTTTTGAGGCTATAGATAATTACGAAGCATTAGATGCTGGCTTTGGCTAGATGCAGGACGAAGTTAACTCTAGTTTTGTTGTTTTGAAAACACAAGTTATCTAACTTGTGCGTTTAAAACAACAAAACCATCTTAGTCACAAGAGTTGACTCAAAATACCAAAACCATCTTATAAAACATATATATATATATATATATATATATATATATATATATATATATATATATATATATATATATATATATATATATATATATATATATATATATATATATATATATATATATATATATATATATATATATATATATATATATATATATATGTATATATATATATATATATATATATATATATATATAAAATGTAACCATATAATATATATATATATATATATATATATATATATATATATATATATATATATAGTCTTGCATGTCTCTTGCGTAGCATCAAAAAATATTTCCCATAAACTGTAGTTTTAAAGAGCGCGTTAATAAACCAGACCAGAAAAAGTTTTAAAAATTAAATTTTTTTTTTTAATTGATAGACTGCCTGGCCAAACCAAACCCTCAGTCGATGTAGCAGCATTCCCTTGCGAGTCAGGCTATTTGTCAGTCGATGTAGCAGCACTCCGTTGCGAGTCAGGCTATTTGTCAGTCGATGTAGCAGCATTCCCTTGCGAGTCAGGCTATTTGTCAGTCGATGTAGCAGCACTCCGTTGCGAGTCAGGCTATTTGTCAGTCGATGTAGCAGCACTCCGTTGCGAGTCAGGCTATTTGTCAGTCGATGTAGCAGCACTCCGTTGCGAGTCAGGCTATAAGATAGTCGATGTAGCAACATTTACGCATGTTTAAAAAATGTTTTTTTTTAAATCAATAACAAAAACACCACTAATTAAAAAAAACTTTCTAGTCGCTATAATTGCGGTTTTTTAAAAATTTTTTAAAAAACAATTAAATTTAATGTACTTCCGCATAAATTAATTGCTTTGACATTTCGATGACAATCAAAAACAGCTTAAGAGACGAGGTAATTAAAATTGTAGTCGTAAGAGACTTTTTTTACATTAAAATGCTCTTAAAGCGACACTATATGAGTATATATATATATATATATATATATATATATATATATATATATATATATATATATATATATTTATATATATATATATATATATATATATATATATATATATATATATATATATATATATATATATATATATATATATATATATATATCAAAAATCACCTATAGACACAACAACTCTTGGGCATTTTAAAGACTTTTAAGTTATGCCATTTTTTTCGTTTCAGAAAGAAAGTTTATTTTCCCCTAACTAAAATGGTAGTTGTTCGCGGCAAAGATTATGACGTATTTCCGACTGCGAGGATAAATTATTGAATGAACCCGCTTACTGAAAAAAGTTAATTTTTAATTAAATTTTCTATGCAAAAACGTTTCACATAAAAAAAGTTTAATAAAAGTGTTTTGTAAACAAAAAACGCGCCAATCAGAACGTAACAAAGATATCGTAATTACGATACTGTGGGTTAAAACCCATTTTTGTTAGGTTCTATTGGCAATAATTATTTTTAATTTTCTTAAGCAAATAATACTTTCCTTATTAACAACCGATTGACGTCTTTTCGACCTCTTTTTTGAAGACGTCTTTTTAAAAGACGTCTTTTCACGTCTTAATTTAGGCTGATTATAAAAAGACATAACAAGTCATTAAAAAGACGCCGTTTATTCGTCTAAAGATGTCTTTTTTCCCACTGGGATACATACATATATACATACATACATAAATATATATATTTTTTTTTTTTTAGCTCAGCAACATATTGCATCTGTTAACGATTTTCGTTCTCCCGGACTGTTTCGACCATTAATTATTGGAAGTATTTTGTTGTTTAGTCATGATTTAACTTTTATTGCATACATTTTTTATTTTTTGTCTTCATATCGGTTATTTAAAACCATTGCTGATGTTGAAACTTGCGTTATGGTGCAGTTGCCAGTTGTATTATTGGGATGTTTTTTAGTTCACAGGGTTTCTCGCAGAAAGCTTCTATTATTTGGAAGTACTATTTTGTTTTTATCTTGCATAGGGTTTTACGTTTTTGCTCATCATGAGTCTGTTGAAAATAAAATTTTGCTAGCCTACGTTAATATTTTTAATATAATATATGGCATTACATGGGGACCGTTACCATGGATTATAGTTTCGGAGATATTTCCGCCTCGCGCTCGCGGTCTTCTTGGTAGCATACTTAAATCGTTTATTTGGCTGCTAAATATTCCTATGATACATTTTTTTAACGAGTCTTTAGTTTATAAATTGGTCTTATTTTGCGCTATTGTATTCTTTCTAAGTATACTGTTTGTATATTATTTTGTACCGGAAACGAAAAGGCTTACTTTAGAAGAAATTGAACATTACTATATTATTTTTCGTGGCTTTCGAAATTATTTGCTCTAAATAATAAAAAATATTTTGTTTGCTATCTATTACCATGGAAATGTTAGTAGAATTGCGCGATTTTGATTTTATATAAAGTCTATTTTGTTACATAAAGCTACATAAGTGTGTTTTGTTTTTTTACTACTTGAACAGTAAAAGAATGCTTGTATGCTGTGTCCTTTAAAACAACTTTCAAGGAGATGCACAAAAACTTTAATTAATTATTAACATATTTAATATTAAAAAAAAAATGTAATATTATTTTGGGTGATAATTATCATGTTTTTATAACGCCTAGTTTTTAAATTTAATTTTTTTAAAAAAAAAGTTTTTAATCTATTTTATTTTTACATCTTAGTTAAAAATTGTTGTAGATTGTAATCGGATTTATACCTGTTATATATTTTTAGATTTTTTTACATTTAATGTAAACTTTCTAACATGGACTCTATTAAATACAATGTCTAATCATTTGCATTTTCAGTAAAAAGTTGTAAGGCTACTTTTTTTGCGGTTTATGTTTGAATCGATTAAAAATACTTGATAATTAAAATACTTTTTTACTTTAACAATTATTATACTAAAAACTCTAATTTTGATAATTTAGATAACAAACTTATTCAATATGAAAAAAGGTCCACCATGAAATCAAACCTCCTAGTAGATAGAAATTTGAATTTAGCTCTTGTTTGTAACTAGTTCTGAGAAATCGACCTTATATCGCTATGATATATTTTAGGTCCTTCTTTCACTGACCAAGACGGTCTATTAAATTGTAAATTATTATACCTTTTTCCGACTTATGACGTGCCAAAAATTTTTTCAGAGCCTTTATTTTTTTCGATTTGACTTGATTGTTTTAAATAAATTTTATCAGCAATTTTCAGACTGTAAAATATTTTTCCTGGCTTATGTAATGCAAATACTTTTGTCACCGAATTTTTTAGCATCATATATAGCGGTCCATCATATATTAGCGGTCCTCGAAAATAATTAGAGCGAGCTGGCGAACTCAAATTATATTTTGTTTTTTCTTATCAATAAAAAATCGACCTCCTTAAACCTACCTCTTTTTTTGAATGACTTCAAAATGCTTAAAAGTTGGAATACGCAAGATAGTGTAAAAGGCTGCGACGCCATTATCTCAATAAACTCTATTTACAATAGAATGTTCTAAGCTCTGCTCAAATATTATGACATTTACTCGAATCCCGTTTATATTTACATACAAACGGGATTCGAGTAAATCGCAAAGTTATAACTTTTTTACTTTGAAAGTTGGATATCCGATAAAAACAGAAGAAGCCATGATCTTTGGTATCAGCCTTTATTAGAAAAGTCTTGTTTATTGTCTCTAGTTAGACAAACAGGTTACAATCTTCTTTGCAATGTAACATTAAGTGGTAAAAATTGTAATGAAAGACCAATATCCAAACAATCGCTGAATGAGGGTGATCTACGCTCAGGGTCGGATTGGCGTGAAAAAACGGCCTGGGAAAATTTTGGTCATGGCGGCTCACTTCATTGTTTGTTGCATATATTGAATAAATAAATATATATATATATATATATATATATATATATATATATATATATATATATATATATATATATATATATATATATATATATATATATATATATATATATATATTGGGGCACCGAGAGCCTTCACGTCGCCCGGGACAGCAACCATAATTAACGCCATTATTTTTTTAAATTTATCTATATTATTAGTGAAGGACCATTTCATTTTTAGGTGCATTATTGATTATTGTTATTTAAAGTATAAAAAAGAAATTTTAAACTTCCCAGCCTTAATATTGATGGAAAATAAATATTTCTAAAATACTGGTGTATGTTGGAGTCTAGAAATAGTAGAAATAATTGACACAACCGCTATCGACTGTTATAGCAACTTTTTCATTGTTTGACTAATCGATGCCAAACCATCAATTAGTGCATCGTTGTTAATTCTTGGAAGAAGGTCTTTTTCACAAGACACTAGCATGAATGATTGTAAACTTGACTGGCTCATTAATTTTCTTAACCTGTTCAAAATATATTTCAATTTCAAAAATCAAAAAAAAAATGAAAAACCTTTCACAAGCAACTTGTGATGAGGATAATGTCAACACAAATTTGTAAAGCAGAAACAAGTTTGAATACGTAAGACTATGCAAGTTGAACTTTTAGAGAACAAAGTAACAACAAACAATACATTTTTGAATGATTTACATTTATTTCTGTATTTGTCGTTGTTTTCCACTTCTGGGATTGTAAAGACGGTTTCAAATTCTACGTATTTAGATTGTTGGATATTGTCCGAGACAAAATCAGATACTTCCGTGTCAAATAGCAAAATGCGTTGTTCTTCAAGAGTTATTTTGAAACTCTTCTATTTCCTTGCAAAGTTCAATAATTCCATTTGATGCTGATTTTTTCTTACACTAGCATCAAACTTTCTGAGCAAACCACTCATCTCTGCAATGCGTCACTAGGCACTTTTTTTTTAAAAATTTTGCAAAATTTTTTGGATTTAAACAAAATAAACCAGCATATAGACTACCATGGTCTAAAAATCTCTGTTTTAAACTACTGATTACTTGATCCATTACTATATTGTGAACATTGAAACGAAATTATCATTCGCACTTTTAAGTAGTTGGTTTGCTCTAATTCTTTCCTCTTTCAAATTTGTCTGAACTTCAATGTCGATATTCCTTTTTTCCAGTTCTCTGTTTGCAAGTTCTGAGAAATTTGTGGCTGCTTGAAAAATGGAATCAAAATTTCTATCTGCTTTGCTTAATTCATTAATACTGTCTTGAACCATTTTATAGGCTCTTAGTATATCCATTCCAGTTGTTTGCAAATATTCAGAAAATGGCGTTGTGTGCTCAAAACTTTTAAAAACAATTGCGCCATCAAAATAAATTTAAAACTTGTCAATGAATCTAAAAGAGTTTTGGACATCATTATAGAATTTGATTGATGTAGAAATATCATGAAATTTTTGGAACATGTCAATTTACAATAAACCAATAACTTATGTTTCTTGATTATTTATTCATTTATTTACGTTATTAATAACAAAATAATGATCAATAGTATTCGAATTTTGAATACTAAACATGTGAATAATTATTAGACAAATTAATTCGGATAAAACCGTAAAAAAGTAAAAAAAAAAAACTAAAGTTTTAGATGACTTTACTTTTTCTTTTTTAATTAAATTTTCTTTTTCTTTTTTTTTTTCTTTTTCCTTGTGGCGCCCTAGGGCCTCGTGTCTCTCATAGGCTGCAGCCTATATTAGCTTTTGCCTAAATCCGCCATTGAGTTTATATACTTAATACTTGCCGACAAAATTTCGATGTGCAATAAACAAAATACATAGTGCAGCAAACATAATTTATAACAACAAAATATTATCAATACTACCAATCTGTGATATTTCTGTCAGTGAACAACACACAAAAAGCAACAAATTAAAAGATATACAAAATTGAATTGTATAATAATTAGTTTAACATTACTTAACTAATTTGGTTTGTTTACGTTAATGTAATACTACTTTCAGTCAGCTAAAGATGGCTAAAAATATTTGTATAATTAGCTGACAGATATATTAGCCTGTAATTAGATGTAATTAGAGCCCCAAAAAAAAGTTATTATGTTTTTAGTTACATTTGAATTTACCGTTGATTATAATAATCAACGGGAAATAAAATGTAGCCTAACTAAAAATATGATAACTACTTTGGGGGCAACCGGTCCACCGTGAATCTCTCGGTGTCCCGGCGGCCCAGTTTAAGCCTGTCTACGTTCTTTAGCTGAAGTATCTAACACAATCCTTAGCTAGTTGTTCCGAAATCTTCTTTTATCACCGCTCGATGAGATATAGAGAAAATCCTCTTTTATTATCAGACAGTATAACTTTATTAGATACTTGAATTGACATACCTTATTTTATTTTGTTATATAGAACTTTATTTTTTTAATTATCTTCTTTCATTAATTAAAAAAAAATCTAAATGATTAATTCAATTTAAAAAAATTATAAATTTTCCTTTTTACATACACTCTGAGTAAAATTTTTATCAAGTTTTTTTTGTTTAACTATCATCAGGAGGAAAAATTAGTTTGTAAAAACAAGTATACATCAAAATATATCAATGGACACCTCCAGTTTTATTACACTCGACTGCGTATGATTTTAACAACTTGCATTTTAAATAATAAATAAGGATAGAAAAAGTTTCAAATATAGAAAATAAAACTCGGACTTCCCTTTCAACACACACCCTGTTTTATTAAATTCATTAAGTTTTATTAAACATAAAATATGGCCATTGATTAGTTCAAAATGTAGCTTAACTCGCAATTTTACATTTCAGTTTTTTTTTTCATTTCAAAGAAAAAATTAGTCCGTTGGAGAAAAACATCATTTCCTTTAAAGTTAAGCAACCAAATATTATATTAATTGTGTACAATTTTTGATATCACGGTATCCTGGCTCTGTTTCAGTTGCCTACTATCATTTTATGATTGATTTTAATGAAGACTTTTATACTGGTTAGGAATCCATTAAAACATTGACCTGAAATTTTGAGGTAAAAACTCTAACTCAATGTTGAAGGTTATAAAAAATTACGCTAAGAGCGCTAATATTCGCCATTTTCTTCATACTCAAATTTGACTAGATTCTTTTTAAGTTAACTTAAAAATAGCTAGGTTTCTCTTCAAAAACAAATTAAAACAAAATCTATTAGTTTATAATTGGTTCTGAACTTAACTCTAACCCTAACCATGTAGTTTTGTTTACACCAATCCCTATACGTCAGTGGTAATTTGATAAAATTATGACATTATGCAGTATAATATTTAATTTAATGCTTTGTTTGTGTGTTTGTATATAATGTTTGTATTTGTTGTGGATGTATTTAAGTTTATCTATTATATTGTAAATATAGTTGGCCATTTTAATGATCAGTGTGAATATATTGCACTGATATATGATTAACGAAACCATTAAGAGTTGGTTTATTTATTTTTAACACTTACACTATTTATTATTTATTTGTTTACTAAATTTTTTTCAATGCGCGTGCTGAATTGTTTGAAAAACTTTTTATACGTTACAAATTTTTTCTTTAAGTGCTCACTAAAGTTGCTTTTTATTTTTTCTGCATATAAAATTTTATTTTGTTGAAATTGAGAGAAATATTTACTGCCGAAAAAAATGTTTTTAAATTGCACTGTCGTCGGGTTCTGAGCTATCGTGAAAGTTTCAGAGCTCTAGCTTGTCGGGAAGTGGGTTAAATATAGCTTCAAAGATTCTAACCCGACGGACAAACACACACACACACACACAAGAAATCAAGTTTAGAAAAACGTTGTAAAAATACACTCTTTAAAATATTTAATTGAATTTAAATAAATT